AAAAAGTTTTTTATTATTATTTTTTTTTTTTTAAAAAAAAAAAAAAAATGTTAAGAAATAACATATCAGAACTTACCAGGAATTTCTTCAGTACCAAATTCATAAGGAGTAGCTTCATACCATTGATAATGGTCATCCAGTTTCTGATATTCTTCCCATACTTGTGCATAATTTTCAACATGAGCAGCTTCTTTTGCATCAAGACCATCTTTCCATGGACGAACATGATAAGCACTGGAAATTTTATTATATTAAAATTTATCTTACATAATAACTAAAAAAAGAAACATAAATAAATATACCAAACATGAATCGGTAAAAGATCTTTTCCACCATCAATATATTTTCTTTGCCTACTCAATTTGAAATCTTCATACTGGGTTGATGGGTCTGGACCTATAAATAATTTTGCACCCAATAATGCACCGTAGAGATCCATAATGTTTGCTGGGGCACCACCCGTTTTTTTTTGATGTAAACCACCAAAGGCAAGCTCAACAGCAGCTTTAGGATTACCACTATGAGCGAGATCTTTAAAAACTCCGCGAACACTAGTGATACTATGAGTAAGTTTTGTTTTATAAAAATTCAGTAGTTCATCAAGAGGGTGGTTTTTAGAGTTATTACGAGCAATTGAGGTATATAATTGAGCCAAATTCCAACAACTACCACTAAGACCTATTAATAACCGTATCATACGATTAGTTTTTTTTTTAAAGATAAATTCAACAAATTATTTCAGAAAACTCAACAAATCATTTCTGAATGTTACCCGTGTACCCGAACAAAATCTTGGTTTAATGATTGGGTGAGTTGTATTTTCATTAAACTTTATTTATTTTGTTTTCAAATTATTGAATTTTAATTTTATTATTTAGTTTATTCGGTTCTGCTCCATCTGCGCCTCTTCTTTTCGAAATTAATCAGCTTGAACTAGCTCTTGGAAGTGGCTGGGCAAAGAAGGAATTTAAACGTGTATATGATGAGGTAAATTGAGATTACCTTCTTATTCTAATAACAGAAATAGTTTGTTACATATATTTAATTATTTTTACTTCTTTTATCTTTCATTCATTATTTTAATAGGCAATGGAAAAAATGGGTGAACAAAAACAACGTATTTTTGAAGGTCATCAGCCTGTACCATCTCCAGAAAATAACAATTTCTCTTATCATCTTGATCATCCACCATATAAACTTGGTATTACTAATTCACCATACCTAAAACTTATGGATGCTGGTGTATCCAATGATTCACCAGTTTACCCGATGACTCGTCCTGCAAGAAAAACCGAAAATGTTGTCCGTTTTGATTGTTCAAGTGTAATTGTTGGTCGTGAATTATTTGAAAAAGAACAAAAAGAATTTTGTGAAATTAGAGGATTTGAACGTAATGCTCGTGATACTACTAACAAATATTGTGAAATTCATGATTATACACCAAATGGTAAAAGTAATGGTTATTGTCCACCTGCTGAACATCCATTTACTTTATGTTATTTCCCATATTTACCTAATGATAAAGTTGATCCAAAGTTTATACCAGCTACTGAAAAATTCATGGCTTTTAATAATTTCGTTTATACTTCTGAACAAGTTGATAAAACTGTTAAGTTAGCTAGACAAAATTGGGATGATGGTCATCAAAAGGTTAAAGATGTTATTATTGATGTATGGAAAAAGAAGAAAGCTGCTAGATTAAGTGGTGGAAAATAATAATACACACACATTTCCATTTTCTATCTTGTATAATTTATATATATATATTGTTTGTTGTGTATTTAAAAAGTTTCTTTTCTCTATTGTATTTATTATGTAACTATTAACATCGAATTATAAATATATCGTTGATTAACAACCTTCAGTCATAATATATGTTTGAAAAAATAAAGATCACAGTACAATTTATACCTTTATATCAATATTTGGAAGCGATAGATGTTATAAAACGTAATAAATACGAAAAAAAAATAATCGTTAAAGTAATAAAATATACCGCAAAAAATAAATTCAAACAAATGAATTTTTGTTTGAAAAATATACGTTATTGTATGAGTTACAAAAATTTAAACGCGTCAGTAGGGATTAGGTAAAGCATTTCGAGCGGGTGTTCGTTGTAGAAAGATTTATAAGAGTTATACATACTTTGGAGAAGGTATATTTAGATCATTTAGAGAAATCTCTGTATATAGCAGAAAGAACATGATAATGCTGAAGCTATATATAGCATTAAAAATTATATGTATTAGTTATAAATATCATACTTTTGGTTCAACTTATATTGTTAACAAGGTATTTAGCAAACATATTTAAATTAAATAAACATCAATCTTTTTTATTAATATTTATTGTAAAAAAAAAACCCCCATTTATCAAAATAAATATCTAATAATTACATAATTACATAAAAATTGCCACATTCTAGATATTTTTACTCATGTTTCTTTATTTATTTCTTCCGTTGTTACAGCTTTATCGCACCGTCCAGTAAGAACACACCATAAAGGCTGTAATGGTTCGGCCTTTATACCTCGTTCGACCATTCGAAATCTCCAATCATTCAATCTTTGTAATGCATCATTATCTGGCACTCGTCTATTCCCATCAACATCCTCAATGCCAGACCATAAAACTTCTGCAGCGGCCGAAGAACGTGGCCATAATTGTTGTTCGTAATTTGTTGGATCGGATTGCTCAGACCATAAAAGAACTTCACCTAGATAACCGATAGACAATTGATAGGATTAAGATAATAATAATTATTACGTATAATGGCCGACAAACAATACATTCGCTAATAAAATACCTCCGATAACAAATTTGGCTTCTTCATCTGATAATCCTTTTATGGGATTATATGAATATATCCGTTGCCATGTTTTATATGGATCACACCTAAAATAAATTAAATAAATAAATGTTTTTAATTTTACTAATTATTTTCATTAGTCCCATTCCTTATTAGCTATACTTACCAACTTTTCCCTTCAACATCATTACCAAGCCATCCACCATGTCCACAATCCAAGTACCAATAATCTCCACTACCAGTCACAACTCTGTACCCTTTCTCCACTACCTTTTTCACCATCGTGTGATCCGTCCATACTTGGACCACCGTATCTTTTGGCAACTCTAGGTTATGTTCCGTTATCATTTCTTGCCATGTCATTGGTACCTTCCCTTCGTTTTTTAGTATCGTATAGAGGTTGGTCACAAATTTATCTATCAAGGATTCTGTGGTAAGGTCATCCTGTTGGGCAAGTGTTTCCCAGCAGTTTATGTTTACTTCGTCACCGCCAGTGTGATAAAATTTATCAGTAAAGTAGGATGCTATCTCAGGAACCAATTCATTAAGGAAGGTATAGGTTTCAGGTATGGCTGGGTTCAATTGACCACTTGGTGGTTCAGCAGAATACTTTTTATGTCAATGCAATTTTTAATAATGAGTTTCTGTTAAAATGAGTAATGATATATAAATAAATTGATTTTTATAATTACCTTATTCCAATCCGGATACATATCTATACACGTCATACTAGTTCAAAATATACAAGTCAATGCAAATGTAATCATATAATATTAATAAATTGTAAAAACACATACATTTCTGGCATGCTTGCGGCTATAGCATATGTATGTCCTGGCATATCAAACTCTGGTATAACTCTGATTCCTCTCTGAAATTAAATTATTAATAATAAAAAAAATGGTATATAACCGTAATTAAAATTTGAAGTTACAATAACATAGATTGTGACCAATTATCATTTGATACTTTTATTTTAACTCGTGAAATAATGCAATTAAAACGCCCTGAGTCACATTAAAAAAATTGGGCATAGATTACATTATATTTTTCCGAGCTAAAATAAAAGTACACTACACTCCGTTGTAAATGCACTGTCACATATCTTATATGTTTAAAAAATAAAATCAAATTTTTTAACCAGATTGTAAAACGTACCGCCCTTGCATATTCATCAACGATCCTGATATCTCTTTTTGTATAAATCATTTTCTTAGGATCATACGCTCCTTTTTCACTCAATTCTGGATACTTTTCGCTAACCACTGGCCAACTAGTAGAATCCACAATATGCCAATGAAAAACATTCATTTTATTCCAACTCATAACGTCCAAAGTTTTAAGAATTTCTTTAATTGGGTAATAGTTTCGTGAAGTATCGAGTAAGAGACCTCGATGCATAAATTTTGGAAAATCATCTATGTGATGAGGTGCAAATGGAAGAAATAATCCTTCATAATTACGGTTGTGATATAATAATTGTGAAAATGTGGTAAGACCGTGTAAAATTCCATAAACTGTTGGTGCCTTCAAATATGCTATTAATTCTTTTTCATCGTCGTTTTTCTTTTCCGGTATTATCAGTTCATATGACTCATCTGTTCCCAACGGAATTCCTTCACTCATCTCTTTATTATAAGTCCAATCAATATACTCTTCTTCTGAATCATCCTGATCTTTTTTAAGATTATCAGTTATTTCAATCTTAATGGATGACAATGTCAATATCGAATCGTCTCCATCCTCTGGAATTTGGAATTTAACATTAGGTGAAAAATATTTTTCCTTTTTCAAAAGTATTTGCAACCGATTTTTAGCAGATTCTATTAATTGATCTGTGTATGAATTTAAAATTTTAGGATCATATTTTACGGTAAAGGTAGGATAAACACGGAGAAGTGAAGTGCCCTTTGACCAGTATTGTGGTAGTGGCCAAAGAGAGTTCACAAAGTTTGGAAATATAAGTAGAATTAGGATCGATGAAAATTTTAAGAATATCAAAGACATTCTTAGATTTTGAAAAGAAACCTAAATCAAAAAATTTATACAATTGTGGTAGGGATCCGATAATTTGGCTAGTTTCTATACGGACCAAACCTAATGGATCTGTTGTACAAGGATCTAGCTACTAAATTAGGTCAAAAGAATTTACTCAAATCTGGTCATTTGCTTTGTATCACTCAATAATAGAGAAAAGCCTTAGGTGCATAATTGGAAACTAGTATTCTTTATCGAAATCTTTTATTTTCCAGAGCGAAGCGGCAGACCATATTTCTATGCGCGTTAATGACTGAAATTGTGATTTTGATGTATTTAAATAAAAATATAGAAGTGTGGTTTTACCGTCTGTAGGGTACCCGGACTTGTACCGGTTTCTAGTTAATAAATTAGTATATATATAGTGATTGATGAAATTTACTTCACTGTTATATAAATACAGTTGAACCTCCCAAAATCGATCCTCTCAAAACCGATAACCTGTCAAATCTGATAAAAAATTAGTCCACCAAGTCCGTTTCCGTTATATAAATCTAATAGTTTATAATGTTTTCAAATCTGATAACCTCTCAATACTGACATAAAATCTGTCCACTATGCATATTGATTTGGAGAGGTTCGACGGTAAATGCTTGATCCATCTCTAACTGATTATGAGTTGCAAATCTTCCATGTCGTCAGTTTCTTCAATTTTCTCGGCGTTTAGCCCGTATAAATTCCGAATTTTATTTAAATTTGGTAAACCATATCCATATTTAAAAAGTGGATGTCTTCTACTATGACGTGTTGTATAATCTGGTAAATTGCAGTTAGAAATAATTGATTGTATTTTTTGTGTACTGATAAATGTACTAGTGTACATCTTAGATGAATGCTTTGGTAGTTTGAGATTTGGTTTGATTTCATCAGCATCCAGGAATTGTTTTTTAATTTCATTTGTTTCATCTGCATGCTTTACAATTTCATACCATTTAAAAAGTTTATCACAAATACGCCAAGCATCAGGTCGCTTTTGTGGTTTGGAATGCATACATTGTTTTGTTAATTCAATATAGCAATCAGGAGTTCCGGGAGCTAGTTCCGGTCGTGATCCAAGAATAATATCTATTTGCAAATCTTCATCAAAAAATTCACCATCAAAAGCTCTCTGTCCTGTTGATATTTCCGTCATGACAACCCCCAACGCATATATATCGGCAGCATCTGTGAACTCTTTACCTGATAAAACCTCAGGAGCAATATAAGGAATAACTCCATAAATTTCGCCATTTTGTTCGTTACTAGATCCAAGATCCACAAGAAATGCACGATCTAAAGAATGTAGTAAAATATTTCCACCGTGTAAATCTTGATGAGTATACGAATTTTCATGCATTGATTGAAGTTGTGAAACAATACTAAGTAACAATTTCAACTTATTTTCCCATTTCATTTGAGATACAGAATGAAGATTTTTGTTTAAAGAACCCAACTCCACGTAATCCATTACAAGGATAAAATGTCCAGAATAATCTTTTGACATTCCGAAACATCTCAAAAATGATAAATTTTCTAATCCAATTTCTGGATCTAATGCTCCATACATAGAAGATGACACATTATTTAATCCAATTTCGCGATAGGGATGAACCTTTAAAAAAAAATATATTAGCTGTATAATGATGAAATAAATTTTTATGATAAATGAAAATTACCTCATTCCAAGCTTTATCTGAATTATATGAATCATGAAATACTTTAAGTGCAACTGTCCTACGTCCCACTATTTCATTAAAACCCTCAATTTGCCAAGTAACATCATCCCACCAAGATGCCTTATATACAGTTGCAAACCCTCCTTCTCCAATTTTTTCGAAATCATAAAGATTACAATATGGAATCCATATGAATCTATAATCATAGTAATCCTCATACTCCTCACCATTGTTACGCTTCCAATTCGGATCATAATTATAGCATTCACTGCTACCACATGAGTCGCAATAAAATTCTCCATTTATTTTATCATTATTTATTGTTTCATTGTCACTTTCTATACCCGATTCATTTTCGCTTTCGCAATTCATATTTTCGGTAGAAACTAGGTCTTAACAAAAAAAAATCAAATATTAGGTAAAATTTACAAAAAATAATGTTTGCGAAAATAAGTCTCTATGGTAAATCAAAAAAAAAAAAATTTACTGAAAATCTTACTAGCAGAACTGTTCTTCTGTGTCATATTTAAGAAATAAGAAATGGGCTATCTTCACGCAATACCCAGCCATATATATACGTATCGGGTATATACCACCGAATTGCAATATGTACAACCACCCCCATTTTACTTATTTGCGTGGGTAGTATACGATATAATTAGTGTTCCTCACGGGCCGGGTTTTAGCAAAAACCCGAAGTCGACCCGGAAAACCGGTCCGGGTCCAAGTATAAACCCGTACCCGAATATTTGATACCCGACC